AGGCAATTTCGCGCACTATCACACAATTATGTTTCAACCTGAGCTGCTTCAAAACGCGACAGCCATTATGCTAACAGTTGGATTGTGCCGCAGCGCACTTACGTGGCTGATATCACATTTCCTGAACTGGTGTATCCATCTGAGAACATGAAAAAGACATATGATACGAACGGTTCGCTAGACGAACGAGTGCAGCCCCGCATTTTGCAAGTGTTGCGGCATATTCCATTTTTACGATTTCACAACGTTTAACGGAACAATACCTGTAATGAATGACCCTTCGCATCTGCAACAAGGACGTTTTCGTCATTATCGATGAACACACCACTGATGTATTTTATTTCGATGTGCCCACGACTGAAAAAAGAAACTTTGGAGAAAACTTTGGATTACGTGCCCTATGACACACGACACACGTTACATGGGGCATGAGAAAAAACATACTTTTTGGGGCCTGCTCCAAGGAAAACACTTTCTTCAAACTTCAGTTTTTCAGTCTTGACATCAATTGAGAATCGCACTAAAGACTGGGCACCTGTAAATGAACGTGTAGGTCATAGAAAGCTGGTTATTCAACTATCTCCAAAGATAAAAAGAATACAACAAACACACCTAGATCAGTAATTATAAGAAGATCACGATGTACGTCAAGGAACGATGGCAATCCGTTCTCAATATTTGGGTAAGGAGCAGAGTTGACGAGCTCAAAATAGAAAAGATTAATAAAGAATTGACAGCTGATCTGCCGGTACGAGTAACTACATTACAAATGAATACGCATTTCAAAATAAGTGAAACACTATCCTCATATAAGGACAAGTTGTTGTAACAAGAAAAATTAAAAGACAAATAAGACAGTTTTCGTGTCTGAAAAGAACTTATAGAAACCATTAAAATTTCATAGAAAGAGGAAGGAAAATCATACCGTAGCTCTTGGTTTCCCTTCGTAAATACAAATATTCCAGAATCCCTTTATTTTCTCCAATATCAAGAAATTTTTTCGAGGTGTAAGCGCTAGACCTGAAACTATTTATAGCAGTCTAATCAGTTGCGCTCGTAACGGCCAAAGATGCTTTTGATACTATTATGATATTCTCCACTGTACATAGGCGACTACTACTAAATAAGCCACTTCTTTGCCCATACACGAAGCCACCTTGTGTTGTTAAACAGCTTAAATCCATCACACTGTCTTATTGTAAAGGTAGCATCTATACGCGAGGTAAAAAGCAGTTAGCAATCAAAATCTAGCCTATGACAGATTTGAATTTCAAGGCTTGCAAGGAACAAGCTATATTTCCATCATTCACAAAAAAAAACAAGATCACATACATAGCCAAAAACTATCTCGTATAGAGATAGATTGACAGTTCGCCGAAAGGACAGGTCAACGTTAAGGTTCCACTTTACAGCATCGCTGACAGATAAAGATCAAAACTGAACAGCCGGCTCCACCAATTAAAGAGGCGCTTGCCCCATTAATACGTTACCGTGCACTGCGTTTCAAACGTAATTTATACACAGCCAGGATGGGATGAGGCTTATTCATGGCATATTTCGATAAATTCATGACAAACCTCTCGCTGATCCGGAATGGGTGATTACTACATCAGATTCTTTTTTGTTGTGGTACATGATCCGTATGTCATACTTGGTAAGAACAGCAAAAGAGAATCCAGGCTCGAGAACGGCGACCGCACATGGTGCTAGCATCCTGCTTGAGGTCAACACAATTCCACTAGGAGCTAGCACAACCTTTAAGATATCTATTGCGTTGATTGGTGTCACAATAATTCACAATAAAAAGATTTCCAGTTAGGTGGGAAGGGAGGTATCACGATGCAGTTTTCCAGAAAGCTAGGGTAACTCCGAGCCAGGGGGAGTGTAGCCAGTCTACGGGGGTGGGGGTGAGGGCAGTCACTTGACATGCGTGAAAAGCTGGAATGTTCGAGTTCACCGAGAAACTGCATCATGATGCCCCTTTCCCCTAACTGGAAACAGATCCGAGAAAAACTTTTGGAAGTGCATGTGGCACAAGGAGTGTCCACCTGACACCCACTAAATATTGAAAAAAAAGAAACTCAAAAGTGCCACTTACTCGATCATTACCAGTATCTGCGACAAGCCACTGCTCCAGAGCCTCATCAAAAGTAACACCGAGAGGCCTGTTGAGACGTTTTCCATCACAGTTCTTTGAGGGTGATCCAGTTAGCGACACTCTGATGCCGTCTGAAGGTGATAGAGCATTTATAGCAAAGGAGAGACGGAAAATGAATCATTACTCCTCCAAGAAATGTCCAGATAAGATAATGTGAGAAAACTGCTGTAAGCATATTGTACAGCTGATCCCGCAATGTTGTAAAAACTAATGAAAAGATCAAAAACACGGGAAGCCTTTGCTGCAACATTGCTTTTTACGCAGCGTGACACAAAGTGCGAAACAAGAAGCAGTTTATCGTAGCAGTGGTAGGGGCTTGAAACTGTCCCTACAAAAAAATCGCGCTTTCTGAGATTATACGTACAAACAAAACAACGCTGCCACGTCCACGCTGACATCATTAGTCGGAGCATTTTATATGTTAGTAAAACTACTGAAGATATTATAGACGCAAGAGGTTTCACAAGAAATACTCTTCCGTCACGTAGTCTAAACTCACCGTATGGTTTGATGTATTCAGTTAAACGAATCCGATCTTCAGCTAATAAAGGACTGGGTGACCCAACGTTCCTCATTTCGTCTGCAAGTGTGAAATTGATCTCGCCATCTTAATCTAGTGAACCTGTTTTGAGAATGAGATGTGTTGACTCGTTTCACCTGTCTGTAACTGATTTCCAATCTTGGAAAATGGGTTGCTATCCGAGCCAAACTTATTGGGATTTGAAGGAGCGACCTTAAAGGCATTGGTACATATCTCCTTCACCTAAAAAACCAAAAATTCACCATCCAATTAGGAGAGCATGTCATGAAGAATTAGAACAAGCAATTTCTCTAAGTAAACGCGAGATTGAAGCTCTGTGGCATTAGATACGTTTGTTGATTGTTTAATAGTTCGAATCCATTCTTCTCACCTATATTTCTTAAATGCCGTTTACTGAGCTGCAGTAGTGATTTTGGCCGTTCGGAAAGAGAGGCAAAAGGAAAAGCAAACTGCGAAATGAAAAGACCGTAAGAGGAGACATTGTGCATGTAATTAGGTTCCCAATATTCTACCGCTCCAAGCTGCAATGGTTAGCGTACTGACCAGAACACCTATTACGACAATTCAAGAACATGTTCTGTACATGTTAACTGTCTTTCGGAAGAAACAACTCTTCGTGATTAGCAAGCATTGCTACTGATGTAACGCGATGATCGAGCACGTCGCTCAATCGATTTCGCGCGACATTACTCACGCTTCACAGTCATGATGCGTCCAGGGATATTTTATATGTAGTGACGCTTTAGAGTTTCGCAAGATCTTCAAATAAATTCACTTGAAAGGTCATCATTTCTGTCTCCCTAGTTCTCGTGAGGGCTTCGCGAAATCTCTTTTTCGGGAAGTACGAAGTACCGGTAAATTAAAATGGTCAGCTATGGCGAAGGGCACCTCAGCCGGCTGACTCATCTACTGTAGACCTCATGCGTGGATCCCCACACACTTGACCTGGTCAGTCACCTTTGTAGTACTTTGCCTCTACTTCTTCTTTACTACTTTCGACTTCACTTCTGCTCAATTGGGTTCTCAGACGCTCTTCTGTCATGAAAACATTGCTTTTTTCCTTCAGGGTGGCCATAAATTACGGTAACAAGGGCACACCGCATGCAGTTCAAAATTTGAACCCATGGTGTTTTAATTGGTTACAAGGCTTCTGTCAACCAGGGGGTGAGAGTGTAGAAGGAAAAGCAGACGTTCTTTGTGGTAGTGGGACTAAGCCTTTTGAAGGAGGTAAAGAAAGCGGAGATGCTGTAATAGTGTGCACTTGTGAGAGCTCCCAGACAGCACTAACAAAACGCTGAATTG